GCCGATTTTTTTATGATCTCTGACACTCTGTAAAAATGGAGGGGAGGGTATTTCATATTCATAATACCATCAGTATCTTACTTGGATAGATAATAGCTTTCAGGCCGGGCACAGTGACTCACGCCTATAATCCCAGCACTTTGGGAGGACAAGATAGGCGGATCATCCGAGGTCAGGAGTTCAAGACCAACCTGGCCAACATGGAGAAATCCACTCTCCACTAAAAATACAAAAGATTAGCTGGGTGTGGTGGCACATGCCTGTAATCTCCGCTACTTGGGAGGCGGAGGCAGGAAAACCTCTTGAATCTGGGAGGTGAAGGTTGCAATGAGCTGAGATTGCACCACTGCACTTCAGCCTGGGCAACAAGAGCGAAACTCTGCCTCAAAAAAAGAAGGAAAAGGCTGGGCTTGGTGGCTCACGCCTGTAATCCCAGCACTTTGGGAGGCTGAGGCTGGCGGATCACGAGGTCAGGAGAACAAGACCATTCTGGTCAACATGGTGAAACTCTGTCTCTACTAAAAATAGAAAAATTAGCTGGGCGTCGTGGTGGGCGCCTGTAGTCCCAGCTACTCAGGAAGCTGAGGCAGGAAAATTGCTTGAACCCAGGAGGTGGAGGTTGCAGTGAGCCGAGATTGCGCCATTGCACTCCAGCCTGGGCAACAAGAGTGAAACTCCGTCTCAAAAAAAAAAAAAAAAAAAAAAGGAGAAAAAGATAGCTTTCCATCCATAGGTTTCATCATTATGAAACTTTGAGAATTAGGTTTTTTGTTGTTTGATAAGGTTTTGCCAGATGATACTTTTTGTTTCTTTTTCTTTTTTTGAGATGGGAGTCTCCCTCTGTCATCCAGGCCGGAGTGCAGTGGCACAGTCTCGGCTCACTGCAACCTCCGCCTCCAGGGTTCAAGCGTTTCTCCTGCCTCAGCCTCCCGAGTAGCTGGGACTACAGGTGCATGCCACCTTGGCCAGCTAATTTTTATATTTTTAGTGGAGATTGGGTTTCACCATATTGGCCAGGCTGGGCTGTAACTCCTGACCTTGTAATCGTCCTGCCTCAGCCACCCAAAGTGCTGGGATTATAATTGTGAGCCACTGTGCCTGGCCCAGATGATGTATTTTTACTTGAGGGAAACTGATTTCAGTGAAAATTATACTTTCAAAGACTATCAATCTTTTGTGTTTATCCTTGAAAAAGGTAGGGTCTATATAGTGTTTTTTTTCTTCAAAAGACATTTCCTTTTTAATTCTTACATAGCTTACACAGGATAGGAAAATAGCATCTTTATTTTAGGATCAGAAATTGTTGAGTTTTAAGTGACATACCACATTTCTTAAACTTTTTCAATTGACTGTACGTTGTTAATTACCCCTGGTATTTTTTTCTTGTAAAGAACTGTGATTTTCCCCTTAATAGACTGTAAGTTTCTAAATAATCTTGCCTCATTCAGTAGGTGCTTGGTATATGTAGTGCGTCAGGGATAACATTAGTTTGGTTAGTTCTTTCAGTTCTTGATAACTACTGTGAATTCTGTGTATGAATTAAAAGTGAGATGTAGCACGTTACATTTAATGTATTCACATAATGTATTCACTAACATGTTACATTTAATGTATTCAAATGTATTTAAGGTATTCAAACACTAGCTACATTTAATATATTCAAATGCAGGTGGCCAAAGGTTACTCTGGGAGTCAAATATGTCACCTTCTCTTTTCTCAGGAACTATCTGCTTTCCTCTTCAGAAGATGGAACAGTTAGATTGTGGAGCCTTCAAACATTTACTTGTTTGGTGGGATATAAAGGACACAACTATCCAGTATGGGACACGCAATTTTCTCCATATGGATATTATTTTGTGTCAGGGGGCCATGACCGAGTAGCTCGGTAAGAACACTGTGATCTTATGACTGGGTCTATTCAATGATCAGAATGGTTTCTTGTTGGGAAATTACAGCAGCCAGCCAAAATCATTTAACTTCCATTATTGAGGATCTGCTTTCTGAGAAGCTTTTGGATTTATAACTTATGTGAAAATCAGTTTTGGGAAGGAGTGTTATATCTGCAATTACATCTGTATGAATCCTGCCTTTTATTTGTTATATATATATATATATAAAATTTTTTTTTTTTTTTTGAGAAGGGGTTTCACCATGTTGGTCAGGATGGTCTTGATTTCTTAACCTCATGATCCACCCTCCTCGGCCTCCCAAAGTGCTGGGATTATAGGCGTGAGCCACCGTGCCCAGCCAAATCCTGCTTTTTAAAAAAGACTTAATCCTCCCTTCCACTCCCATGAGATGCTTAACCTTGTCTTCCACTACCACGATGAGCACCTTTATGTTTCTGTATAATCTCCTTAGAAGTTGAGGATAAGGTAGCTCAGGTTAGAAACTATTTGGCCAGGTGTGGTGGCTCACACCTATAGTCCCAGCACTTTGGGAGGCCGAAGAGGGCAGAGCATTTGAGGCCAGGAGTTCCAGACCAGCCTGGCCCACATGGCAAAACCCCATCTCTACTGAAAAAACAAAAAACAGAACTTAGCCAGGCGTGATAGCACGTGCTTGTAGTCCCAGCCACTTAGGAGATGGAAGCAGAATTGCTTGAACCCAGAAGGTAGAGGTTGCAGTGAGCCGAGATCACACCACTGCACTGGGTGACAGTGAGGCTCTGTCTTTAAAAAACCGTTTGGTGGCCAGAACTAGGGCAAAATACTTCCTTGTGGTTTAGATTAGGAATAGGGAAGGAAGAGGAATATACAGAGCTGAATTGGAGTTCTATAACTTAAGTTTCGGCTGGGTACAATAGTACATGCCTGTAGTCCCAGCTACTGGGGAGACTTAGGTGGGAAGATTGCTTGAACCCAGAATTTGAATCCAGCTTGGGCAACAGAGCCAGACCTCAGCTTTTTTTTTTTTTTTTTAAAAAAAAAGACAAAACTGTACCAGATCAACTCTTAGAACTGTTAGTCTTATTCTTCTTCCCTCAGTTAACTAGTAAGTGGGAGCCACTGGAACTAACATTTCATACAGATGTTTCTGTATTTATTTTGGATAGATTTTTGGCATTTCACTGCGAACTACTAATTGTCATCTTTTGCTTTCAATAACTTTATAAAAGGCTTTGGGCTACAGACCACTATCAGCCTTTAAGGATATTTGCTGGCCATCTTGCTGATGTGAATTGTACCAGATTCCATCCAAATTCTAATTATGTTGCTACGGGCTCTGCAGATAGAACTGTGCGGCTCTGGGATGTCCTGAATGGTAACTGTGTAAGGATCTTCACTGGACACAAGGTATTTTACACTCTGACTATTCAACATCCGAGGTTGCTTTCAACATAAAAATATTTTTTAAACATCTAACATAAATTTTAAAGATACCATTCTTACTACAAAACTTTTAATTTTTGTCTTATTTTCTTGGACATACTTGACTTTGATCCTATAAATTTCTTTTCTAGGGACCAATTCATTCCTTGACATTTTCTCCCAATGGGAGATTTCTGGCTACAGGAGCAACAGATGGCAGAGTACTTCTTTGGGATATTGGACATGGTTTGATGGTTGGAGAATTAAAAGGCCACACTGATACAGTCTGTTCACTTAGGTTTAGTAGAGATGGTGAAATTTTGGCATCAGGTAAATGACTATTAATGGCTTTATGGTAAATGGTATGTTAGGAGGAAACAGTGTTAACGATTGCTAAATTAAGTCCTGATGTTTTAGGTTTTGCTTCCCTTTAGCTATGATTCCAGTGCCACCCTACATGTAAGACTTCTCAGGTTAAAATACCATCTGAAATGCTCCTTTAGAAGGAATAGTTGTTGGTCAAGTTTAGATTTTTCACCCAAAATGTATAGTAAATACATAAAATGCATTGGACAGTCTCAGAATATAAATATGATGGATGCAACTAATGGTTTCCTTTGACTTCCCGTTAGGTTCAATGGATAATACAGTTCGATTATGGGATGCTATCAAAGCCTTTGAAGATTTGGAGACCGATGACTTTACTACAGCCACTGGGCATATAAATTTACCTGAGAATTCACAGGAGCTATTGTTGGGAACATATATGACCAAATCAACACCTGTTGTACACCTTCATTTTACTCGAAGAAACCTGGTTCTAGCTGCAGGAGCTTATAGTCCGCAATAAATCATCGGTGTTAAAGACCTTTTGGAAGCTACTGTTTTTAAAAAGGGAGACTAAAAGCAAATACCTCAGTGATTAATATTTAAGCTACAAAGAAAGAATGTTTTTGTCTATATGGATCTGGAAGTATGCTGCTTGGAAAATCTGAACATGACAGTTCCACGTTTCTATAGCAACCACATTTGACTAATTTCCGTTAGTTGAATAAGAGGTATTATATTCATGGAGGGGACATTTATGGTGCTTTGGATTGTGTGGAAACTATGCATTTTCTGTTCAAATGCTATTTTAATTTATTACATTTAGAAAAAAAGTTGATTTCAATAATTCATCCTGCTTCGAGATTCAAAATCAGAAATATAATATCATTTTGAATTTTAGCTGAAGAATCCTATGAGCATGTATGTTTCTGCTGTAAAAATGTAGTTACTATATGGCACTCAAGTATTATGTTAAATGATCTGCTAACATTTTTTTTCTTGGCCCATGATTAGTGGAATATATCTAACTATGTAGGGTGAACTATAGTTCCTTTCTTAGATCTAGATTTAAAACAGCCCTCCACTGACATCTGAATTTATATACCTGTTGAGTTTTGAGTGTACCCAAACACTCGATAAACCAGGTGAAGAAATTTAGCTTCCATGTTCTACTTCAGCTAAAACAGCTACATACAACCTAGTACACTTGAAGTCAGACAGACATTTCCGTTGCTTACCTCCAGTACTGAGCCTTGCTTTGGGATACTAAAAGATTTAGACCAACTCACTGCCAGTTTTTGCCTTTGTTGCATTTTGTACAGTTTTTATATTTTTGATATCTTGTAAATAAAGACAACCAGCTTTTCCAGGTTCATAATTTATTGTACAAATTGTATTATCACATGATGAGTTGGGATTAGCTTCTCCAGACATGGAACTTAACAGATGAGGTTAAGAACGGAGACAGTTTAAAATCCTATAAACAAAGCAAAAAGTTTAGATACAAATATGGTCAACTTGAAAGACATTCAAGAATTACTAAGATACCTGAACCCACTGAAATCGAATGCAAATTTATATTAGACTGTCAGAGGCGTAAAACCAAAATTAAGGTGTAACTCAGATTAATACATTTTTTTTTTGAGACAGAGTTACCCTATTCTTGCCCAAGCTAGAGTGCAATGATGCAATCTTGGCTCACTGAAACCTCTGTCTCCCATGTTGAAGCGATTCTCCTGCCTCAGCCTTCCAAGTCCTGGGATTATAGGCATGTGCCACCACGCCCGGCTAATTTTTTATTTTGAGAGATGGGGGTTTCAACATGTTGGTCAGGCTGGTCTCGAACTCCTGACCTCAAGTGATCCATCCACCTTGGCCTCCCAAAGTGCTGGGATTGTAGGTGTGAGCCAGAGTGCCTGGCCTTAGATTAATACATTTGTTTTTCTTTTTTGAGAGGGAGTCTCACTCCATTGCCCATGCTGGAATACTGTGGCAGGCTCTTGGCTAACTGCAACATCTGCCCCCCGGCTTCAAGCAATCTCCTGCCTCAGATTCCCGAGTAGCTGGGAGTACAGGAGCATGCCACCATGCACGGCTAATTTTTTGTATTTTTAGTAGAGACAGGGTTTCACCGTGTTAGCCAGGATGGTCTTGATCTCCTGACCTCATGATCCACCCACCTCAGCCTCCCAAAGTGCCGAGATATTAATACATTTTAACCTAATATTCCACCTTTAACAAATAATAAGCTACCAACAATTTAGTATGATCCTAAAGGTATACTATTGGAAAACTCTGGTGACATCACTAGTAACATTACTAGATATATGTTTATATCTAGTAACATATAAAGTAACATCCTTTTTTTTTGTTTGTTTGGAGACAGAGTCTCACTGTATCCCCTAGTGTAGTGGTTTGATCTCGGCTCACTGTAACCTCTGCCTTCTGGGTTCAAGTGATTCTCATGCCTCAGCTTCTTGAGTAGCAGGGATTACAGGTGCCTGCCACCACGCCCAGCTAATTTTTGTATTTTAGTAGAGATGGGGTTTTGCCATGTTGGCCAGGCTGATCTCGAACTGCTGACCTCAGGTGATCCACCCACCTCAGCCTCCCAAAGTGCTGGGATTACATGTATGAGCCCCCGCACCACGCCTGGCTAAACTAACATCTTAAATAGCACAAAATAAATATGCATCAGGGATACAATTTCTCCATTTTTTTTTTTTTTTTGAGAGGGAGTCTTGCTCTCGCCCAGGCTGGAGTGCAAGTGTGATCTCAGCTCGCTGCAATCTCCACCTCCTGGGTTCAAGGTATTCTCCTGCCTCAGCCTCCTGAGTACCTGGGACTACAGGCACACATCACCAGGCCCGGCTGATTTTTGTATTATTACTAGAGACGGGGTTTCATCATATTGGCCAGGCGGGTCTTGAACTCCTGACTTCATGATCTGCCCACCTTGGCCAGGCACAGTGGCTCACACCTATAATCCCAGTACTTTGAGAGGCAGGTGGATCACTTGAGCCCAGGAGTTCAAGACCAGCCTGGGGAACATCACAAAACCTTCTCTCTACCAAAAGAAAATACAAAAATTAGCTAGGCATGGTGGCATGCATGTACCTGAAATCCCAGCTATTCAGGAAGCTGAGGGGGAAGGGTCACTTGAGCCTGGGGCAGAGGTTACAGTGAACCGAGACTGTACCACTGCCCTCCAGCCTAGGCAACAGAGCTCATGTCTCAAGAAAAATTTCCAGGCCAGGTATGGTGGCTAATGCATGTAATCCCAGCACTTTGCGGGGCTGAGGTGGATGGATCACCTGAGGTCAGGAGTTTGAGACCAGCCTGGCCAACATGGTGAAACCCCATCTCAACTAAAAAAGAAAAAAAATAAAAAAGGTTGGTTAATAATTACATAAAGAGCTTCCATGTCACCCAAGTGTTAAATAAAGACAAGTATAGGATGAATTATATTTTTAAGAAAAATACAAATAGTAAACGAATAGAAAAATGTACTTCAAAAAGCAGGAGATGCAATTTTTTTACTCATCAAATTAGCAAAAATCAGAAACTTGTATTTCACATTGGCTGGGCAAAAGACACACCCATTTACAAAGGTAGGTACCCCATATTTGTCTGGGAAAGCACTGGGCAAGACAATCCTAGATACAGACAAGGCTTCATGCTCAAAAGCATTCACTGTACTGTTACTAATTCTAATGGGAGATTTCTTCTCTGAAATAGTTTCTGTATTTATGAACAGATATGCATTCAAATTATAAAGATATATTTGGTATAAGACAAAATTACAGACATGATCATATTCACTGGAAACCAAACAAAACACATTTAACAAAAATTGTTACCGTCTTGGGACATAGGCAATATTTTTGTTTTTTTGTTTTTTTTCTTTTTTTGGAGACAGTCTTGCTCTCGCCACTAGGCTGGAGTGCAGTGGCATAGTATCGGTTCACTGCAACCTCCACCTCCCAGGTTCAAGTGATTCTCATTCCTCAGCCTCCTGAGTAGCTGGGATTACAGGCACCCATCACCACACCCAGCTAATTTTTGTATTTTTAGTAGAGATGGGGTTTCATCATGTTGACCAGGCTGGTCTTGAACTCCTGACCTCACGTGTATGCAATAAATTTTGCAAAATGACAACAGTTTATTTTTATAGTAAATGTTAGGGAAAAATCCTAACATCAAAATGGCTAAGTTATAAGGTTTAAATATCAACTTCTTACCATTTATGTTGCTTTCACAGCTGGAGTTTTTTTTGGCCTTAACTTGAAATACAAGATAATCAAAGCAATGCTTCCATATGTGGCCAGTACACACTGAGAAAGAAAGAAAAAAGTAAACAAGAGTTGTTGTCGCATCTATATTATTTTAAAATATAACTGCTTAAAGTTATCATTAATACTTACATTCCTTCTACCTGTGAGAGTATGAGAGTTGAAATATTTTTTAATACCAGTGAACTGAAATTGTTCCTCAGCTTCTGGACCTGCCATGATCTCAATCTTTTAAAAAAAAGAAAGCAACAATAAATTGGTTTGGATATAATTTAAAAGTAAATAAATTTTGTCTTGTTTTAGTTTAAAAACTCAAAGTCATTGCATATAAATATTGTAAATTTTTATCTATGTCTCACACAACACAGTAGTAGCAAAGATGGTGGAAAAAACCTTGTTAATAAGAAAAGCTTTTGGAAGTAGGATTTTACCTTGACTGCTATTTCATGAACACCTCAGAATATATCAAATCACTCAGCATAAGAGGAGAACACAATAGCCCCTACTAAGTTCATTCTCTGACCCAATACAGCTTTATGTTTTCATTCTTGGCTCCATCACACCACAGTACACTGAATTTAGGACCTCCATGGAAGAGGGGAGAAGGGATCATTTACTAAATGGAGTGGATAATAGCTAGTGGTGGTGTTAAGGAAGCTGGAATCCTTACACCACCACAAAATAGATAAAACATTTAAATGTAAATAGTGAAATTAAAAAGTCCTGGAAGAAAACATGAGTAAATATTTAAGTCATCTCAGGGAAGGGAAAATATTAAGGAAAAAAGCCAAAAATAAAAAGACAAAATATAACTGGATAACCAACCTCACTATTAGTCAAAAAAATGTAAAGTGAGACCAATATTTAATCATCAAACTAGCAAAGATAAAATTATGGTAAGTAGCAGTATTAAGTATGTGAGAAAACAAGCATTCTCTCTCTCTTGCTTGTAGTGTAAACTCGTACAGCTTTCAGAAAGTGCAATTTGGCAGTATCTATCCAATTGTAAAATGAGTATACCCTCTCATCTAGACGGTTCATTTTTTTTCTCCAGGAATTTATGCTTATTGAAATATTACAAAGTGGAAGCACATTATATAGTTCAAAGATGGTCACTGAAATACTGTTTATGAAAATCTTAAAAGTACTTCTATAGAAGACTGATTAAAAAAATGATCGTTTCCATTGAAGGACACACAATATGCAGAGATCTTTGTGTAATGACATGGGAGAATGTCCCAAGTAATGTTATATTTTGTAAAAAAAAAAAAAAAAAAAATCGTATTTCTGGATTATTTATTTATTTATTTTTAAAGACAGGATTTCACCATGTTGGTCAGGCTGGTCTTGAACTCCCGACCTCAGGTGATCCACCCGCCTTGGCCTCCAAAGTGCTTGGATTACAGGCGTGAGCCACCTCGCCCGGCCTATTTCTGGATATTATAAAGCACATCAATGGCTCTCTTAGTCCCTAGACCAGCAGCATTAGCATCACTGGAAACTTGTTAGTGCAGATTCTTAGGCCCTACCTATTGAATCAGAAACTCTGGGTCCAGGAATCTATTTTAATAAGGCTTCTAGATAATTCTGAAGCATGCTGAAGTTTGAAAAATACTGCAGTAATGGAAACAGAAAAGTTTTAAAAGTATTAAAAAAAACACTGGAAGAATATATAGCAAATTTTATCAGGGCTTAATCTATAGTACCTGTGTATTTTATAAAGGCATGATTTCTTTTATAATGAAAAACAGCAAAGACGAGACATATTCAAAAGGTCACCAGAACAAGAGCTGAAAATTCGTATGCATGACCGCCTATCTACCACGACCGACGCCACGCCGAGTCGATTGGCAACAGAGACGAGCCGGTCGAGGTCCGGTCGAGATTGGTAGGCAGTGACAGTGACTCAGCTGGCTCTTGATGAAATGGAAGAGGGAGATATCTATGAGGGTGTCACTTCTATGGAAACTGAACTCCCCCATTCAACGGCTTTCAGAGCCATTCTTGTGCAAAGAATTGGCAATGAAAATTTGAGAAAAATGACCTTAATTTTCAAGTTTCAAGAAGGTTCTTGGAGCAATGAAGGAAATCCAAACTTCCTTAGTCTCTTCAGAGACCTTGGCCAGACTAGCCCAAGTAGGAAAATCTCCATTAAAAAGCAACTTTATAATGTAGCTCTTATATCAACTATTTTACTTTACTAAACTTACTAAAGACATACTTTCCCCTGATTCATTTCATGAAACATTTTTGGAATCATTTCTTGTGGTATGAAGTAGGTTTTTAGGAGAAACCGCTATAGAAAACAAGGGTTTAATGTTGACCATTAACTGAAAACCTCCCCTATGTTACATCTAATGAAACTTTTTAGGAGGATATGCCCAACAATACTAAGGTGCTTTATCTTTTCCTTTAATTTACACACAATATGGGAGGAAAGCTGCTGTTTGTGATATCCCACAGAATACTAATTCTGACCGCAGGGAAGTGCATAGTTCAAGAACTGAAATCAATGACTCAAGTTAGTGGGTCTCAGAGGAGGAAGACTCTTGAGAGGCTCAGATGGAGGAGGAAATGGGGGGGGGTTGTCGCTGATAATGATGGAGTAAGATAGAAAAATTTGGTTCTGCACTCTTCAGCACGCTGCAAGTTACAAAGTAGGGCAAAGATAAAGGAACCCTTGTGTTTACAGTGCCCTTTGTAAGACTCCTGGATGTGATTTAATGTTTTTAAATGGTGGTCTGTTTTAATTAAGCCACCAACTGCTTTCTCTCTTTTTTTAAAAAAAAAAAAAAGCAAAGCCTCCCTCTGTCGCCCAGGCTGGAGTGCAGTGGCAAGATCTCGGCTCACTGCAACTTCCGCCTCCTGGGCTCAAGCGATTCTCCTGCCTCAGCCTCCCGAGTAGCTGGAACTACAGGTGCACACCACCACGTCCGGCTACTTTTTGTATTGTTGGTAGAGACGGGGTTTCACCATGTTACCCAGGCTGGTCTCGAACTCCTGACCTCAGGTGATCTGCCCGCCTCGGCCTCCTAAAGTGCTGGGATTACCGGCGTGAGCCACCGCGTCCGGCCACTAACTGCTCTTAAATGTAACTAATCCTTCTGTGCCTCTCTCCACCCCTGAGATGGGCACTTTATTAAAAGGTCCAGAGTGACCAGTAGCTCTTGCTACTCTGTTCCTCTATATTGCTATTTTCCTTTCCAACTGAACACTTACCTGGAATGGTGAGATCACGAGGTAAGAAAGGCAAAGATGAGTGAGAACCACTCAGGTACTAGAAGCAGCCTCTTGCACTTCAAGTTTACAGCTCTCTATTCTGGCTATCTCCTAGGAAAGGCCTTCCTGCTGATCGTCTAAGGACTGAATTCTAACCCGCTTTCAGCGGGCCTGGCGAACTGCAGGGCCTGCGCGACGCTCACTCGCTTTGACAAAGGCTGCAGAGCAGCTAAAGGAGTTCTGGCTGGACAACTTCCTAAGCACAGCTCGGTGGGAACAAACAGCTATGGGCGTACAGAGGAAAAGAGGTTAGTTAATTCGGCCGGTGATGGGGTCAAAAGCCCTAGTCCTTGTCAATATTACGTCACTGGGTGACCTTGGGAGACTCCCTTCGCGGAGGGCCTCATTTTCTTCATTGGCGAATGCAATCTAAGAGTCTTCGGGAGCTGTGGGAGCTTTTGGGAGCACCTATCTGCCTCGCCTCGAGGCTTCTCACCCTCCGGCCGCCCCCGTGCGCCCCTCGTTTTTTCTAGCTCCTTTCCTATCCCCCACGGTTTCTCTCCTCCAAAGCTAAGATCTTGAGGTGTTCCTCGGCCAGAAACGGCGGCTGACCCCACAACGTGGAGGAGGCGGGAGGTCCAAGCCCGGGCTCCCCTCTTTACCCACCTGCTAAAGCCACAAATTCTGCACCGAGGGTCCTTCAACGACCGTAACCACCGCTCGGCCCGGCCGGAAGAAACCGCCTCAGCCGGCCACCGCGATTCAGCCTTCTGCGTCGATTGGCTACGGCTCGAAGTCCCGCCCTTCCGATTCCTGTCTTACGTTGCCCCCCGCCCAACACAGCAACGGAAGTAGAGTGTTGCGCCCGCCCATACTTCCGGAAGAGTTGCACTGGGCTCAAAGTGTCCTGGTCTCCGCGTGTGTGATTACAGCGGCGAGAGCTGCAGGTGAGTAAAGGCAGAGACGACAAGGGAGGAAACCTGATGGCTGTCAGGTCTGTCCCAGGCCTGGGTCCCTGTTAGCCATCCGCTAGATGAGTGTGGTTCGGCCACCTGAGCCCCGCTTCGAAGCCGGCTGTTCTAGCAGCCCCTGTAACCCCAGGCTTTGTGTTCAGAAAGTAGCTTGTCATTTCTGTGCCCCTGAATCGCCTTCCTTTTTGGAGGCTCGGTTTCCCCTTGTCTGAAATGAAATTAACGGTGAAATTCCCAGCAACCTAGACTCCCTGAACTTTCTTGTTTCTTTGAATCATACACCCATCCCTGATTCCATATCTTTGGCCCCATCAGGTCATCACTTCTCTAGTCTCAAGCCCTTCTAGATTCTTATTGCCAGTTGTCTCTCAGAACCAACGTCTCTTGTCTTCTGTTTTCGCTTATACCCAGTTCTGGTTCTCATGGTTTCTCTGTTGTACTGCATTTGAACCATTTTTAACAATGCATTTGAATCCTTCTTCTGAATTTCCTTCGGTACTGCCTCTCTTCATGTCCAATCTATAGTCTGCTGTGTATTTTTCTTGCTTACTATTCTGTCGCTTTCCCCTCTTAACTCTCTGACTTGCCAAAGTAAACTACCCATATCTAATTCCAGGTCTTCCACAAAGTAGCCCAACTTCTCCTTTAATTTTTTAAGACGGAGTCTCGCTCTGTCCCCCAGGTTGGAGTGCAGTGGCTGGATCTTGCATCACTGCAACCTCTGCCTCCCAGCCTCAAGCAATTCTCCTGATTCAGCCTCCTGAGTAGCTGGTACTAGGCGCACACCTCCACACCCGGCTAATTTTTTGCGTTTTTGGTAGAGGCAGGGTTTCTCCATGTTGGTCAGGCTGGTCTCAAACTCCTGACTTCAGATGATCTGCCTGCTTTGGTCGCCCGAAGTGCTAGGATTACAGGTGTGAGCTACCGTGCCCAGCCTCCTTTAAAATTTAACTTCAATTTTTATGCTTTAACCTCCCAGTGGTCTAGTTGAATAATTCTTCAGAGACAACAGCAAACCTTTGAGCATTTCTTTGATAGGGAAATTGCTGGTGTTTATTGAAATAATAGGCTTTTTGATAGGGAAATTGCTGGTGTTTATTGAAATAATAGGTTTTTCCTATTCCAAGCCTTATCTCACATTCCCTTTCTACCTGTCAAGCTTCTGTTCATCTTTTACCCTTCAGCTTAAAAGGATCTTTATGAAGCTTGCCTCCTTTACTGAAGCCTTATCCCTTCCTATATCTTTGTGATGGTTTATAATCTGATTTGCATTTTAAATTACTTGCATAATTGTTTTGTCTTCTAAAAAGTGTGCATGTTCTTAAAAGGCAGAGGATTATATATTCCTCTATAGAACTACAGTGTATCTCATCTCTGACTTAACTGTAGCTGCTTAGTGAGTGCTACATTGAATCTATGACTTACTTTTCTGGAAGAAGGTGGGTGGATTTGTGGTTTTGAAGCAGAGACCATTGGAAAGATGATGTATGGATTATCCCGGGCCTGACATCTAAATCATCTGTGTTGTAGTCCTGAATATTGTGTAGCATACTGCTGGAACATTCTTTCTCTTGCGCATTGATCACACCTTTCTGAAATCTGCTACCAAAACAACATATCACCATTTTCCGCTGCATTGTTTTTAGGAGACTCAAACATGGCAACGCTGGAAGAAAGCTTCCCCCGAGGGGGTACAAGAAAGATCCACAAACCAGAGAAAGCTTTCCAGCAGTCAGTTGAACAAGACAACTTATTTGATGTAAGTAGTATGCTTGTTTGGTGACACTCACTGGAAACTTTCACTCTAGTGTCTTGTGAAAAATGTGCCTTATTTGAGAATGTGTTATTTTCTAGATTTTTTTTGCGTTGAAGTCTACTTCTATAAATTTAACTCATTTAGAGAGGCCATGCCACCACAAGGCTACATCTTTTGAAGCTTGGCATTTAGTAGTACAGTTTAAAGTACTCTTGTTGGCTTGGCATGGTAGCTCATGCCTGTAATCTAACAGTTTGGGAAGCCAAGGCAGGCAGATCACTTGAGGCTCGGAGTCAAGACCAGCCTGGCCAACATGGTGAAACCCCATCTATACTAATACTAATACAAAAACTAGTTGGACTTGGTGGTGCAAGCCTGTAGTCCTAGTCCTAACTACTCGGGAGGTTGAGGCATGAGAAGTGCTTGAACTGACTAGGCAGAGATTTCAGCACTGCACTCCAGCCTGGGCAAGTCTCTGTCTCAAAAAACAAAACAAACAAAATAAAGTGCTGTTGTTCCTTGTTCTTAGGGATTCTGTGCCATGTTTCTTTCTTTCTTTTTTTTTTTTTTTTTTTTAGAGACAGAGTCTTGCTGTGTCACCTAGGCTGGAGTACAGTGGTTCGATCTCAGCTCACTGCAACCTCTGTCTCTTGGGTTTAATTGATTCTTCTGCCTCAGCCTCCCAAGTAGCTGGGACTACAGGCATGTGCCACCACTCCCAGCTAATTTTTGCATTTTTAGTAGAGATGGGGTTTTACCATGTTGGCTGGGAAGGTCTTGATCTCCTGATCTCAGGTGATCCACCCGGCTCTGCCTCCCAAAGTGTTGAGATTACAGGCGTGAACCACCACGCCTGGCCTGTGCCATGTTGATTAAGGATGAAGAGGAAGCCATTTTTGTTTTTGTTTTTGTTTTGAGGTGGAATCTCACTCTTGCCCATGCTGGAGTGCAGTGGCAAGAGTGAGTAGCTGTGATTATAGGTGCTTGCTACGATGCCGGGCTAATTTTTGTATTTTTGTTAGAGGTGGGGTTTCATCATGTTAGCCAGGCTGGTCTGAAACTCCTGACCTCGTATGATCTGCCCACCTCAACCTCTCAAAGAGCTGCGATTACAGATGTGAGCCACTGTGCCCAGCCGATGTTTTTTTTTTTTTTTTTTTTCTTCCAGAGAGATGATGAGGAGAGACAATGTTTCACTGTGTTACCCAGGCTGGACTTAAACTCCTGGCCTCAGTTGATCCTCCCGCCTTAGCCTCCCAAGTAGCCAGAACAACAGGCATTTCCACCGTGCCCGACTGATCATTGCATTTCTTTTTTGAGACAGAATCTCACTCTGGCCCAAGCTGGTGTGCGGTGGCGCAATCTTGGCTCACTGCTGCCGTTGCCCCTGGGGCTCAAGTGATCTCTTGCCTCAGCCTCCGAAGTAGCTGGGACTACAGGTGCAAACAACAACACCCGATTGATTTTTTTTTGTATTTTTAGTAGGGATGGGGTTTCACCATGTTTTTCTGGGTGATCCTGAGCTCAGGTGATTCACCGGCATCGGCCTCCCAAAGTGCTAGGATTATAGGCCTGAGCCACCATGCCCAGCCTGATCATTGCATTTTTACATGGGTTCTTTGCCACAAGTAATGGTCAAATTTTGCATTAGACTTCATAGTCTCACCTAGACTAGCCTGTGCTCCAAATGCTTGGGGAAAGGGACAACATTTGAGTGTGTGGCTTTAGGCCTATGTTGTGTAATCTTTTCAACTGTACTATGAAGCAGTGATCATAATTCCATGACGAGGAACAGTGTCTTGCTCTGTTGCCCAGGCTGGAGTGCAGTGTTGTGATCTCAGCTCACTGCAACCTCTGCCTCCTGGGTTCGAGTGATTCTCCTGCATCAGCCTCTTGAGTAACTGGGACTACAGGTGCGCACTACCACAGCCAGCTAAATTTTTTTGTATTTTTAGTGGAAAAAAAATACAGCCTGTTGGCCAGGCTGATCTTGAACTCCTAATCTCAAGTAATCTGCCTGCTTCGGCCTCTCAAAATGCTGAGATTACGGGTATGAGCCACTGTGCCTGGCCTTTATATAATTTAGCAGAAACCACATAGCTTGTTATGGTGGAAAAGATGAGAGTTTTACTTGGGTCTGGGTGACTCCAGTGCCCATTTTCATGCACTGTTCTGCAGTGCTCCTCAAACTGGGGAACCCCAGTGTTCATCCCAGTCAAGAGAGGAAGAACACAAGAGAGAAGAGACTTTGGGAATATGAAGGAGGCTTCTCAGACCTTGCGCAGAGGGAGCATTGGCAGCCCAATTTTTTTTTTTTTTTTTTGAGACAGAGTCTCACTCTGTCGCCCAGGCTGGAGTGCAGTGGCACGATCTCAGCTCACTGCAACCTCCACCTCCCAGGTTCAAGTCGTTCTCCTGCCTCAGTCTCCCAAGTGGCTGGGATTATAGGCGCCCGCCACCACACTCAGCTAATTTTTGTGTTTTTAGTAGAGACAAGGTTTCACCATGTTGGCCAGGATAGTCTCGACAGCTTGATCTCGTGATCCACTCGCCTTGGCCTTCCAAAGTGCTGGGATTACAAGCGTTAGCCTCTGTGCCTGGCCTTTTTTTCTTTTTTTTTAAAGCAAGAATTAAAGGAACAATTGGGAGTGGGATGGGGCAGGGTGGAGTGAAGGAGTAACAACCAAGGTGACAGATGACCTGAAATAGAAGGGAAAAGTCAGATTGCTTCTTATTCTTTTGGGTCTTTGTGGGTTTCCCCCACTCTTCTAGATTTCTGCTGAAGAGGGATCCACCAAAAGGAAAAAGAGCCAGAAGCTGCCAGCAAAAACAAAAAAGTTGAAAATCGAAAAGAGAGAAAGCAGCAAGTCTGCAAGAGAGAAGTTTGAAATCCTTAGTGTTGAGGTTTGTTCAAGTTTCGCTTTCCTTTAAGCAAACGACCTTGTTGCTTAAGTTTGTGTATGTTTTTTTTTTCATCTTTCCTTCTTTTTTCTCTTAATTCCATTTTCCCCTTACTATATTTCATGTGTGTGCCTGTAGAGATTCTTGGAATTTTTGCTAAGGACTGAGCATC